TTTTTTTAAAGGTAGAAGCTTTTTTCACAGAATTCCTCAAAAAACAAAGTGGACTATAAAGGTTTGCTTATTGTAATCTATTTAAATGGTTACTGCCTTAAACACATATCTGAAAATATTTCAGATTTAAAGCCACAGACCTGGAAAACTATGGCAAATTTAGTCAACCCAGAACTTTGTACAAACAAAATTGTTTCCAGGCTAATTGATAAAACCAATGAGTTTGCCAAATTGAGAAGTGCTTTTCTTTTCTTTGTGTGTGTGTGTGTGTGTGTGTGTGTGTGCAATATGCGACAGACAGGGTGGATCATAGGTGTGCCGTCTCAAACAGAGAACACTAAATGAGTGATTTAATTAAAGTTAATATTAACAGTTACAGTTGATATTTCAGTTAATTAAATTTCTCTCCTAGTGCTTTAATTCCTACTTCTAGATTAAGTGAAGTTCTTTCATAAGAGATTTTGGATCTGAATAGTTGGTCTGGATCAGAGAAACCTGAAGCCACAGTCTCCCACTGTTTCTCTGTAGTATTACATTTATGGCAGCACACGGTATGCCTTTGTGTTTTTGTTATCAGCTCAGTCTCGGAGAATCAATGTGTCGTTGTTTTTTTAGCTATTTGATATCTCATGACATAGTCTCCAAATATCCTACCCATCTGGCATTCTTCTTCAAGGCAAGGCAAGGCAAGGCAAGGCAAAGCAAGTTTATTTATATTATTTAATATAGTTATTAATATTGTTTGTTTATTTATTTATTTATATATATTATTTCACACACAATGGTAATTTTAAGTGATTTACTTAAAAAGGATTCAAAATAATTATAAAATAATCACAGCATATGCAAATGGAATACAAATTATGATAAAAGCAAAGTGGTGTAAATACCTGAGGGCTGGTGTGATTTGCTCAGATTTGCTGGTTCTGGTCAGAATCCTGGCAACAATGTTCTGTATGAGCTGCAGCTTTCTGGGAAGTCTGGTGAGGAGTCCATTACAATAATCCACCCTGCTAGTGATAAGAGCATGAACAAGTCTCTCCAAGTCTTGACTGGAAACAAAACATCTAATCCTTGCAATATTTTTTAAGATGGTAATATGTTGATTTAGTTATTGCTTCGACATGACTACTGAAACTTAAAGTCTGACTCCAGAATAACACCAAGATTCTTGACTTGATTTTTTGTTTTTTGACCCCTAGAGTCAAGGTTTGCATTCATCTTGAGAACTTCATCTTTGTTTCAAAATGTAATGACTTCAGTTTTCTCTTTATTTAATTGAAGAAAATTGTGGTGCATCCAACTGTTAATTTCATCAATGTATTGGCAGAGGGTGAATCTGGATGTCATCTGCATGGCTTTGATAGGCAATTTGGTTCTTTCTCATTATTTGGCTCAGTGGGAGTGTAAACAGGTTGAACAAAAGTGGTGCAAGCATTGAACCTTGAGGGACTTGAGGGACATGTTTGTCATTCTTTCTTCCTCTAAACTGTGTGTAGGGATGAGGTGAAGTTGACCAGGAAGATTGGCTCCTTGCGCTACTTCTACAGCTCTGCATATTTTTTCTCAGCCATCTTTGTGATTGTGGCCGCAATCGTGCCTCATGCCCTCAGCCGTGGTATCAACCTCCGTCGCATATTCACCACTCTCTCCTACTGTATGGTGCTGCGCATGACTGTCACTCGACAACTGCCCGGCTCCATCCAGATGTGGTACGACACCATGCGGCTTATTTGGAAGATTGAAGTGAGTCTACTTTTGTGGTTGTCACTTGTAGTGGAGCTTATATACAGTACAAACTATATGCAAAAAGTTATGTTTTTGTTTACATTAAGAGGAAAATACTCAGTGAGAGTATTAAGGAGTATTAATGATAATGCTAAATAATATCTGGTATAATATGAGTTAAAATTAAAACATTTCTGGATTGGTATTGATAAAGGGGAAACACTCCTCTGTACTAGGCTACTGTGTTTCTTAAGAACACCCTGCTGGGCATCAGCATTTTATTGTGTAATGCTGTAAACTGTGCTGAACATTGAGAGAATGTTGTTGTCACTGTGGTCTTCTCTGTATTCAAAGCTCTACCTAAAACTTCAACTTACCTATTTCCTCAAGGAATTTCTTAGCAAGGAGGAATACAAGTTAATGGAATACGATCTCAGCATCACAGAGCTGGAACTTAAAGATGTGACTGCTTCTTGGGATGAGGTATAGTTATGCATTCATAGTCTTTTGGATTAAGAACATGTTTCCTGGATTTCAATTCTGTCTCATTATTGGAAGCAGGTTTAGAGAACTAATTGCTATGCTCTCTATTGACTGTTTCTCAGTCTATTTGAATATGAATTGCATGTTCAGTTCAGTAGCTACACAGCTAATGACCCATGAAGCCTAACTGAGGTCAACGATTAACCCCGAGTAAGTCAGGTCCTCCTTCTATTTCTGTAAAGGTCCCATCATCCCTTCCCTATGGGAACATGTACAGTTTTGTGTCAGTGAGATGGTCATGTACTTAAACTACATTAGGCGATGTTGTCAATTTTATTTCTTTTCAGCATTTAAAGAAAACAAGAGGAGGGATCAATATTTTTTGAATGCATTCAGTGTGCATGTGTAGTACAGTGTAAATCTGTGTTTCTTCAGGGTCCTGGTGAACTTTTGGAAAGGATAAAACAGGAGAACAAAGCTAATGGCCATCACAATGGAGATGCAGGCCTCTTCTTTACTAACCTATATGTGACTCCCGTACTGAAGAACATCAGTTTGAACCTGAAGAAAGGAGAGATGTTGGCTGTTACTGGTTCTATGGGATCTGGGAAGGTAGGAGTGCTTCCCGTTATTTTCAAACCTTTCGTAAATATATATCATTGTTAAGTATGCTTTGACTGGTTTGGTTTAGATGGGATCATCACGGGGCATCGGTAAGAATGCACAGGAGTCCATGAGTCCAATCACTGTTTTTAATAAAGTTTCACTGGATCCAAGCTAAGACTGTCTTTGAGTCACTCCACAGAGTCACACTTTGAATGTTCAAGGTGAATTCCTTTTCAAGAACTCTTGCCAGTTGAGCTCCACTAAGTGCTGCACAAAGTTCTAGCCTGGGTACAGATAACTGTCGTTTTGGTGCCACCCTCGATCTTGCTGTGACAAATGCAATCTCGACTTGGCCTTGAGGATTCTGTGTTCTCAGGTATGCCACCGACCCATAAGCATGATTTGAAGCATCACAAAATATGTGGATGTCTCTTATGCAGGCCTCAGAATCTAATTCTGTGCTAAGAATAAGAATAAAACAATAAACCCAGCAAATAAATAATAAGCCTTTTCAACAATCATTGCAAGTAGAAGTAGTACTGAAATGTAAAATAATATATTTATTATTTATATGTATAAAAATTATATAAATATAAATACATTTTATATATTAATTGTAATTATTAATACAATTAATTTTATATCAGGATTAAAGAAAAAAAATAAACAAACACATTTTTCTACTTCCTTTAAGTCAAAAATTACTGTAGGAAAAGAGACTAAACAATTTTAACAAATAATTCACAATTATAACAATTATAGTGAATAAATGAAAGGCCAAATACACTACAGTGTGAAGCCTTTAATAAGCTGAAAAATAAGCTAAAATATAAAAGGTTGAGTAAAGTTGTTTAAGAGAAAGCAAACATTTGCTAAAAGGAAACTGTAAGGTTGTCATTGTTCAGACATAATGTCTGTATTAATAGAGCACATTGTTGATGAGCATCCTCGGGGAGCTGGTTCCCTCCTCTGGGAAGATCCGACACAGCGGTCGAATCTCCTACTCCTCCCAAACAGCCTGGATCATGCCTGGCACCATCCGAGACAACATCCTTTTTGGTCTGACCTATGATGAGTATCGCTACAAGAGTGTGGTCAAAGCATGCCAGCTTGAGGAGGTACTGACAAATTAATGCTCTTCAGTCCACACTTTGTCTCTCTCATTTTCTTACTTTTACTCCCATCTCCAATTTCTCTCCCCTTTTCTCAATTGTACTTCAGCCCCTCAGTCTACAGTATATTGTTTGACCTCACTAATCTCTTTTCTCAAACTAACTAGTCCTCCTCTTTGTCTTCTCTCATGTTTTTGGCTCCTGATTTGTTCTGTTTCTGTCTTCCCTCTCTCTCGCTCCCCCCTTTTCTGTTTCTCTCTCTCTCTCTCTACATGGAATGCTCACCTGGCAATTGAACTGAGAACCTTTGTTAGATGTAGAACTGTGTCATATTACTCTGCTCATGGTTTTCTCCCCTCACCCTCAATCTCTTGATACCAAATCAGCCAATCATGTGCAACTATCAGCAGCCAAAGTGTTGAGTCACAGGCCCCTTGTTTAATTGAGTCTTACATGAAAAGACGGTCAGCAGATCTGCTGAGAACACATTCATATCCAGGCATTAGGCTGATGTGTGAGATTTATCTGTGCTGCACATTTGTCTAGTGAAAATCATATTGCGAGGCTTTGCAAACACTGCAAAAACGTACATTATATTCACAACGATAAAGATTCCACATTTTCACAGAATGTGTAGTGAATAATTTTTTTTATTATATTTTTCACCACATTTGCAAACATATATATTTTTTCTTTCTTGCTTTAAGCATAACTAGTTTAGGCTGGAAACAAGAAAAAAAATGGCTAATTAGGCAAGAAAAATAAATCTTATTCAAATTATGTATTTTCTCAAAATAAGTCACACAAAATATATATTTTAATGTGTTTTTACAGATTTTTTTAATGATGTTTTTACTGTGTAAAAAGTATATATTTTTCATAAGGAAAAGCACATTTTATATATTACTGTAATATAAAATAACAGCTATATATATTTGATTAATATATTTAAATTATTTTCTTAATACTGATTTTTTTATAAAAATGTTTTTTGCTGTGTAAAAAGTATATTCTTTATATAGGTAAAAGCACATTTTATACATTACTGTAATATAATATTATATAATTTATAATATATATATATATATATATATAATTTTCTTGTTAAACAGATGCTTAACTGTAGTTAATTAACAGTGTTTTTCTGAATGGTGAACCTGGGACATTTACAGTCTGTCTCAGTTCCCATGTTTCCCATAGGGGGAAAAGTAAACATGTTTCCTCTCAAACAAAGCATTTTTTCACATAATGGTGATTACAAGCACAATTTATGACTGTTTGTTACGAAACATCCAGACTCTAACAACAGAAGATATTATGGAGCAGTGTGAGGTGGCTATTGTCATCACAATGGTAGGCTAGGCCATAACAACAGAGTATGAGAAGTTAGCCATTTATGTGCTAACTAGCAAGAAGCTACAAAGTATTGTTATTTTCTGTACATAATGAGTCTTTATTCAGTTTATGCTGATAGATCAAGATGCAGACACTTACGTTTTCCCAGCATACTTAATCTTCTGAATTATGAGTTAGAAACAAGCCCTCAGCGAGATTAGCAGGATCTAATAAATGGATTTGTGGAGTGTACAATGTAAAGTGGAAACACCCAAGTTTAGTGGGCTTTTGTTGTTATCTTTGTGGCACTGATATATTAGCATTTCAGTATTCATTTATGTTGTGTCTGGGCAGTAAACCCTGGCATTTCCATCTTAAAGACATGTAGGGCTCCACTGATTTGTTTGTGTAGGGTTTTAAAATCTTCCTCACTGCATCACTTCATTTAATTATTATTTTTAATGCTCCTTCAACGGACAAACAGAGTTGATGACAAGGTAAGTACTTCCTACAAGAGAACTATTCATCTTAAGTGGTATGTGGTCCCTGTTAAGAAAAAAAAAAAAAGCTTAAACCAGCCTAATGTAATCAGTCTGGTCTGCTGGTTTTAGAGGGGTTTTGGGAACTTGTCAGCTAGCCAGGCTAGCCAACCAATAAAACTAGCTGAAGAATACCTTAAACCTTAAGACCAGCAAACCATCTTAGGGTGGCTTAATTCTTTTTTAAGCATGAGTGTTTCCATTAATTTATGTCAAAAAGGTTTTTAAGCACCAAACACACACAGTTTACCAACTAACTACCAACTTCTGCTGTAAATGTGTGTTGTCTTGTATGTGTCACAGTGTACTTCAGAGTTTTGTAAAAGCATGTGGTGGTTGGCTTTCCCTAAATCTTCTTACTCTCCTTTGTTGTGTAATGTCTTACTTTCCTTTGCTCTATATGGTGATATTGTTGATTTTTTTATAGGATCTTGCTGCTCTTCCTGAGAAGGATAAGACGCTTATGGCAGAGGGGGGTTTAAACTTGAGTGGGGGTCAGAAGGCACGTGTAGCTCTAGCCAGGTATGTCACACATTTCCTCACCTACACTGGAACATCTCTCAATTCCTCAGATGTACACCAGCACCTGTAGTTTAAGCCATGCTGGAATCCTCACTTGCCCCATTACTGGTCTTTCCCACAGAACTTTAAGGAAGAAAGTAAATCATATACATATGGCTTTTTAATGACCGTCAAAACACGTTGTTACATCACATCAGGAAGTTTGTTCTTGGACCTCTGTTGGATTTACATGGCCATAAACGCAATATTAAATCTTACAGTTCAATACAATCTTGCAGCCATAAATAAAACAGGACTTTGAGAAGCTTTTATTGTTTGTTTGTACGAAAGCTTCCCTGTGTCAGCGCTGTTGTGACATCATTTATTTTTTCCAGCAAAGTTTATATTGTTAGTATGTCTTATTATGGTGTGCAGAGTATACCACTCTAAAATATTCATTAAAATAGTTTATTAAATAACTATTATAACTATTAAATGACTAAATTATTTAATTTAAGTTTATTAAATAACTTTATTGAATAAACTACGTTTACCTTATTTTGTATATAAATGATAATATTGTCACTAGTTAAAAATAACTATCTCAAAATGTTAAGTAATATAATTTTTTTTTTCTGCACAGGGCTATTTACAGAGATGCTGATGTTTACCTGCTTGACGCACCATTTACTCACCTGGATATTGCAACAGAAAAAGAAATATTTGACAAGTATATATATGGATTAATTTAACTAAATAATGAACTACCTCATTTATATCATGTAGCATTTTGACTTTCATTAATTCTTAGATTGTTTGTTGCCTTATTTTCTGATGCTGTACACTTGGGATCTACTAAGTGCATAACCCCCCCCCATCTTTTTAGATGTTGTAGAAACATCTTTTCCATCTAAAGTTAATAGTGCAACAGTTGGGTTCGTCTAAAAATCCCATTGAAAAAGAAAATCCCATTGATTTTAAAGATAATTTGTAATAAAAAAATTATAAACCTTTAAGAACAGCTACTAGGTTGTTGATCGATGGTTTATGCTTTTGTTGAAGGCACCAACCCCACATTTTTCAACTTATCTTTTAAATAATCACGATTAACATTAACATAGTACATTACCTATGATTCTGCAAAAAATCTCCACCAATCAGAGAATTGAAACAAGCAAATTGTACTAGAAGAACTCTTTAGTGCCCATCCAATCCTATGAAACACTCCAATGACTTAATGTATAGAATATATATATATATATATATATATATGTGTGTAATATAATCTGCATATAGTATGTATATACTATATTGTTTCTGTATGCATTTTCAACCAGTCACACTTTATTTTAAGGTCCAATTCTTGCCATTAACTACGACTTTTGCCTTAAACTAAAAATACATTTGCTGCTTATTAATAGTTAGTAAGGTAGTTGTTAAGTTTAGGTATTGGGTAGGATAAGGGATGTAGAATATGGTCATGCAGAATATGTGCTTTATAAGTACTAATAAACAGCCAATATGATAATAATAGGCATGCTAATAAACAACTAGTTAATAGAGAGAATGGGTCCCTATACTAAAGTGTTACCTCAACATCAATAGTTTTATGTTTATCAATCATTTTTATTTAGATTGTGCCATTCACAGTGCTTCATGGGATTGTAGGTCTTTCCCTCATTAAGTACCTTATCTATCTTTTTGTCCGATTTTCAAATACTTTTTTGCTTCAAATCAAAGTTTGTAATGTTGTGATTTACCAGTTGCTACTGTATGTTTGGTTAATGGCTTATAATTCTTAAACTAAGGCTTCTTCTAAATACCAAAAATACTTCCAGAACCAAAAGTGGGCAGGCACTGTTATGCTCTGTACACAAATAGCAAATGAATTGTAGCTTCTTACTAATAAATGGGACTAAATTGAAAAGAGATGACAATGCTGAAGTTAATTTAGCTTAAATGTCAGAAATATTGCTGTATAACCTAATTTTTATGTATTTACCCAGATGTCTGTGTAAGCTGATGGCCTCTAAGACACGCATCTTGGTAACAAATAAGATTGAGCATTTAAAGCGGGCTGATAAGATCCTACTGCTCCACAACGGTGAAAGCTTTTTCTACGGCACCTTTTCAGAGCTTCAGTCAGAACGGCCTGATTTCAGCTCTTTGCTTTTGGGTTTGGAGGCCTATGACAATGTCAGTGCAGAGCGCCGCTGCTCCATCCTCACAGAGACTCTCCACCGTGTCTCGGTGGATGAGAGCGCAGGCATGCGACCTGAACGCTCAGCTTTTCGCCAGGTGGCCCCATCCATGCCCGTGTACATAGATGAAAGAAAATCTTCAGTTATCGTCAACACTCTCGGAGCAGCTCGTAAGGCGTCCTTCATTCAGATACCCGAAGAAGAGGTTCGGAGGACATTACCTGACCGTAAGTTCTCCCTGGTACCAGAGAACGAGCTAGTGGATGAGTCCTTTATGGGAAGCGACGTGTATCATAACCACGGAGTGCATATGGCTGGTCAGAGGAGGCAGTCGGTGTTAGCTTTCATGACCAATGCACAAGGCCAGGGCCGTCGCGACCACCTTCAGTCATCTTTCTGCAGACGGCTGTCCGTTGTGCCTCAGAGCGAACTGGCATCTGAGCTGGACATCTATACTCGCCGCCTGTCAGACAGCACGTATGACATCACCGGGGTCCTAGAGGAAGAGAGCATTGAGGTGTGGAAAATTCTTGCACTTTCTGCAACATATTACTTTACATACTAGGCTTTAAAGGGATAGTTCACCCAAAAATGAAAATCACCCCATGATTTACTCACCCTCAAGCCATCCTATATGTATATGACTTTCCTCTTTCAGACGAATACAGTTGGAGAAATATTAAAAATGTCCTGGCTCTTCCAAGCTTTATAATGGCAGTGAATGGGGGTCGAGATTTTGAAGTCCAATAAAGTGCATCCATCCATCATAAAAAGTGCTCCACATGGCTCCGGAGGGTTAATAAAGGCCTTCTGAAGTGAAGCGATGCATTTGTGTAAGAAAAATTTCCATATTTAAAACTTTACAAACCGTAATCTCTAGCTTCCGCTAACTGTCGTATGCATGTTCACGAGAGAGTGGCGTTTCAGTGGCTGACGTAGGATGTAGGTGTAGCGTAAGCTCCGGTGAGAATATGCTAGTCTTTGAAAAAGAGGAGGTATTTGAAACAACAAAGTGGAACACATACGTCAGATATGTGTCAAATAATAAAAGCCTTCTGTATGTTCTGATCTTCATCTTCCTTATTGCTGCAATTGAGGTAATCTTAATATTTTGTGCATGTATTCATAAACTGTATACTGACATGTTCTGTATTACAAATGAATAGTTTGAGATTATTAATATATTTTTTAAGAAATTCATTTTATTTAGCAAAGATGCATTCAATTTATCAAAAGCGTCAGTAAAGAGTTTTACATGGTTACAATAGATTTCTATTTCAAATTAAATCTGTTTATTTGAACTTTCTATTCATCAAAGAATCCTGAAAAAAAAATTCAGCTTTGCCATCACAGATAGAAAATACATTTGACAATATATTACAATAAAAAACAATTCATTTAAATTGTAATAATATTTCACAATATTACTGTTTTTACTGTATTTTTTGATTAAATAAATGCAGACTTGGTGAGCATTAGAGACTTCTTTCAAAAACATAAAAAAATCTTACAGACCCCAAACTTTTGAACTGTAGTGTACATCTAGATTTACTAACATTAATTCTTTCTTGTGTGTTTTTAGGTTGCAGGATCTGTAGCAGGGATTTTTCTGATAACTGAGTAAGTGTTTTTTCTTACCTCATTTTCCAGTGATCTCTTCTAGGCTGAACTAAACTCTTTCTTTGTCAAGCATTCTTCAGTAATAGTCTGGAATTCATTTTAATCAATCCACAAAAGACTGCATTTTCACTTTTTTGTTGTAGTGAACTTTGGAAAGAAGAGCAGCAACAAGTTGAGCCAAATATGACAAAGAACTCCAATATGTCTTCACCTGGAAAAAACTATGCCATCATTGTGACCCAGACAAGCAGCTATTACATTCTCTACATCTACGTGGCCACGTCAGAGAGCCTCCTCGCGATGGGATTTTTTCGGGGTCTTCCGTTTGTGCACACTATGATCACAATCTCCAAGAAACTGCACCAGAAGATGCTGCATGCTGTTCTCAGTGCACCCATGTCTGTGCTCAATACCATGAAGACAGGTCAGTGTTATCAAAAGCTGAAATAAGTAGTAGTAAACCTTATTTCCACAGGTCCTGTTTCTGACTTTAATACCATTTGTATCTCTATATAATTTTTGCAGGCCGAATCATGAATAGGTTCACCAAAGACATGGCCACCATAGATGACATGCTTCCTCTCCTCATGTTTGACTTTGTCCAGGTTTGAGCCTACTTTGATAAACTTTTATTGTCACAAGCCTTGAATAAGATGGGTAGATGAATTTCGATTTAGTGCAGCGTTACTCACTTTTGCATCTTGAGACCTGACATTCTACAGAGTTCCGTTTCAACTCTGATGAATTCATACATCAGCATACTAGATTACTGTGTCCCAAATCATAATATGTTCAAAATAGTGTGTCAGATGGACTAGGATGATTTCCTATAGTGATTTCTCACACACATATATGCTTTTTGGGCCAATATTGCCCGCACCGTCCTGTAGTATGGAAATTTTAATTAAAAAAAAGTTTAAATCAAAAAAGTGTTTTTTAATGTTTTTGCATTTCTTCATTTATTTGATCAAAAATACAGTATAAAACTGTCATATAGTGCAATATTATTGCACATTTTTAAAATAATTAATCATTTAAAAAACAATTTAATATATTATTTTATTTTATTATATGATTTAAATATATAATAAAAAGTTATTTATTCATGTGATGGTAAAGCTGAATTTTCAGCAGCCATCACTCCAGTTTTCATTGTGACATGATCCTTCAAAAATTCTAATATGCTGATTTGGTGCCCAAGAAACATTTGTGCCAAAATTTTTGAGGAGTAGAAAGTTCAAAATAACAGCATTTATTTGAAATGAAAATCTTTTGTAATGTTAAAAAAGTCATAAATGAAATAAAAGCAGAACAGAGTCTAAACTTTGCTTTTTTTCCTAACAGTTGACTGTGGTGGTGGTTGGATGTATTCTTGTGGTGTCCATCGTACGGCCGTACATATTTCTCGCAGCAACTCCCCTGGTTATTATTTTCATTGTGATGAGGAAGTACTTTCTCCGAACGGGTCAACAGCTTAAACAGCTGGAGACAGAAGGTAAGGCCAGGCAATGTGTGCATTCTTTGCATGCAGTTGTTAGATACGTCTTTGCAGTTGGCAAAGGCATTCCTGACGCACTCGGCGTGTTGGTGTGTGGCTTGCTGCCAGGGACGAAAAGGCCAGTTAGACAAGGCACTGATGGGAGGTCAGTGCTAGGTCCAAAAACAGGGGAGGAGCAGAGGATGGATGAGTCAACCAGAAAGAGAAAAGGATATCTCAGAGGAAGTGGCATAGGCGGGAGGTCAGAGCTTTGTCTCTCGACCAATCATATATAGTCTATTACATCTCTGAATGAGGCAGACCCAGTTCTGTTGGTCTCTCTGTAACTCAGACAGGAAGAAAACTCATGTTAGCTTCAGTTGTCGACGCTCTTCCTACAGTTAGCCTGTCCAGGGCCACCGAGAAAGCAACTAGGACTTTCCGTACTTTGTAATACTGTGATAGCAAAAAAACCCAACCAGGGATTTCCTCTGCTGCTATCCTGATATCATTCACTCATCGTCCACAACTGATGGGCAACAAGCTTCATGGCGGGGATCCCAGAAAACTGCGCAATCCTATTGTTTTTCAAACAAGAGGAGCTAAAGGCATTGTGTTTTCTATAGAAAGGGAAAGGAATGTTGCAAGGAAAACAGTGTTGAATGAGAAAAATGTGATGATTTAATATCACGGGTAGCTGAACTTGTGGATTAGTTCATTTTGTTTATGAGGTCACCTGAAGGCCAAAGGACAGAGGGCAGGACTTTTATTTCTTCCTTCCTCTTCCTGATCCCTTCTGCTGTTGGAAATGTGTGGCACAGATGATGGCAAAATACAAACGCTCAATATTGACAGTTAAAAGTAGTAGGTGACCATATATATATATATACATATATATATATTCACACACACACAAACATAATTTCCCAGAATGCATTACTTATGTTGAATTTCTGTGGTCAGTTCAATTTCATACTCATACTCATACATTACTCTTTGAAAGTTAAAAGATTTTTTAAATGTTTTGAAAACAGTCTCTTATGCTCAGGCAGCCTGCCTTAATTTGATTAAAATTACCGTAAAAATATTATTTTGTGAAAAAGTCTGCCAATTTAAAACTGTTTTCTTTTGTAATAAATTCTCAAATTTATTCCTGTGATGCAAAGCTGAATTTTCAGCAGAAATTATTCTTGTCTTCAGCGTCACATGATCCTTCATAAATCTTTCTAAAATGCTGATTTGCCTCTCAAGAAACATTTGGTAACACTTTATTTCGATAGTCCACTTTAGACATTCTATTAACAGTAAGTAACTTTGCAACTACATGTCAACTAGCAGTTAGTAGCGTATTAGTAGACTGTCTGCTTAATATCTTCTAACACTTTCTTTGTCAACTTATTCTACTAACCCTAAACCTACCCTAACAGTCTACTCTGAGAGTTAGTAGACATGTAGTTGCAAATTAATGAGAATTAGTTGACGTGTAGTTGACATGTAGTTACAAAGTTACTTATAGTTAATAGAATGTCTAAAGTGGACTATCGAAATGAAGTGTAACCAAACATTTTTATTATTATCAATTTTGAAAACAGTTGCTTAATATTTTTGTGGAAACTGATACATTTTCCCCCCCAGAATTCTTTGATGAATAGAACGTTCAAACATTGTTCAAAAGGTTCAAATATTCAAACATTTATTTGGAATAGAATTGTTTTGTAGCATTATACTGTAAATGCCTTTACTGTCACTTTTGATCTGTTTAATGTGTCCTTGCTGAATAACATATGAACAATTAACATAATCATAAATTAATAATTTATGTAGAGATGGGTGGTGTCAAGCTCCAAAATTACAAAAAAAAAATCATCCTAAAAGTGGCCCATAGACCAAAATGAAGTTTGATTTGGGCGCTACATGGAGGAATGCACTGAATGACTCTTTTGCATTGTTTGTCACACAAAGCTATCTTATTTTTTCAGAGGACTTAAAATTGAATATACACTCTTGTCATCTTTTATTCTGCAGCTCGTAGCCCCATTTTCTCCCACCTCATCATCTCGCTGAAGGGTTTGTGGACCATCAGGGCCTTTGAGCGGCAGGCCTACTTCGAGAACCTGTTCCACAAGACCCTCAACACCCACACGGCCACCTGGTTCCTTTACCTGTCGACCCTGCGATGGTTCCTCTTCCGCTCCGACATCATCTTTGTGTTCTTTTTCACGTTGACCGCCTGGATTGCGGTAGGAACCAACCGTAAGAGCGCTTCTCCATCTGTATCTAGGCAAGAGTGAACCAAGTGAACAGTAGAGCATGTAGAGTGAGCGGATGCCACTGTTTATTTGATGGTTCTCTGTGGGTCCAAAAAGTCAATGAATGCTTGATTTAGTGGGTTTTACAGACAATTGGTTTTATTAAGAGGTAATTGCGAGCAGTGCTTGGAAAATGCCTTTGAAGTGTAGAAGTGAGGTCACTGTGAGCAACCTTGTGCTTGATGTTTATACTTGCTTGTTGGTGCATGTGAATGTGTACGTTATTCCACAGAGGATAAACCGGGTGAGATTGGTATCGTCATATGCCTTGCAATGCTCATTCTAGGCACCTTCCAGTGGTGTGTTGCCACCAGCATTGCGGTAGATGGAATGGTATGTGCCTTTTTAGTTTTCCTCCCTGAAAACGGCATGTTTTTCAGTTGTTCTAGACTGCAGAAATTGTCCTGTTCTGTAATGCTGTTAAAAATATTGTCTGAGTAAGTGAGCAACACTAACAGAGCTTATCAAGGCGCAGAACGTTTTGTTTGACCCTATCAGGAGAATAGTCACAATCACACTGATACGCATTTATACAGTAGTGCCGCTTTATTTTTGCCACATGGTGTAACTGTGTGCGCATTTGTATTTGCACACGCAAGCACAGAGGCTAAGCATCATTTAAAGGCTAAACAAACCACATGCAGCTTGGACCTCAGTGGACCTGATTACATCATATCTCTTCTAATCTTTCTTCCTCCAGATGCGTTCTGTTGACCGGGTTTTTAAGTTCATCGACCTGCCGTCTGAGACACCCAAACCGGACAAAAGCAAATCCTCGGATCTGATTATTGAGAACGTCAGTGCACAGGCCGACTCAAGCTGGCCCAACCGTGGTCAGATAGATGTGCAGAATTTAACAGTCAAATACACAGAAGGGGGTCACGCTGTCCTCAAGAACCTCTCCTTCACTGTGGAGGGCAGACAGAGGGTATGTACAAGCAACTTCCAGACTTAAACTGCTCCTTAAAATGCAAACATTAAATAGTTTCAGAAAAATAAATGCTAACATGCAAACCTTTCATCAAATTGTGCATTTTTTTAAAAGTGTTGTCTCACAGCATGACATTACAATGGGCTATAGCTTGAATTCTGCTGGGTTTTTAAACAGTGGGGTCTGAAAGTCAAATGCTGTTAGTTAAAATGCTTAAAGGGTCGTGAACTGCCTTTGTTTTGTTTTTTGTACTATTCTCTGAGGTCCACTTATAATGTTATCAAGATTTTTACATCAAAAAACAACATAATTTAGAAGTAATAGGTTATTTACTGTCCTTGTTTTGACCCCCCTCATCGGAACGCTCTGTTTGAATAGGCGTGGCAGATCGTAGACTCGAAAGTAAACGCCCACTGCTATGATTGGCTAACAGTTGTGTATGTTTGACAGCCTACATCCTTCCTAGATGGACGCTGCTGTGTTTTAGGTTAAAAACGCAAAAATACTCAGTACATATCAAACAATCTGTAATAACTGACAGAGCGATAGTGATCACATAATGTAAACAGTTACTCACATCATCTTTTAGTTTTAATCTTTCTGAAAGTCCTGCATTGAATTGTGCCTTGTTTGTAAATGAATCCGTGGTAAAATGAAGGACCAAGTTCTTACTGACGCGGTCTGGAACTTCATTAAAAATAAAGTTCATCAAATAAAGTTTATCATTTGTTTTCTGCATAGACCTGCGTTTGCCGCTCTTGTCATTTACCTACTACGTGCGCGAATCGGTGGGCGGGGCTAAACAGGCAGTGATGAAGAAACAGGCGTTGATCATCTTCTGCGGAGGCGGGTTTAGCCACATTATTATGTCATAAAGTGGCACATTTCACAAGCTGTCGTTTTGGCAGACTGGCCTCAATATACGCTGTTTTTAGACTAACAAGAAAGTTTTGAGCTCTGAAATTTACATAATGTTTTAATAGCACAATGACCTCTTATATGTCAAAAGATCAAGGGAATTTTGAGTTCTCAGTTCATGACCCCTTTCATTTTTTAAATTTTTTTTATTACAAATTGTATTCTCAGCATCACATTTGACCTTTTGTGTAAATGAGTTTTGAAGTTCAGTGGGACAATTTTGCTTATTTGATTAGTGGCCTAGAAATGTAAATAAAGAATCTAGAATTGGAAATGTTTCTTATTCATTTTAGGCCTTAATTTATTAATTTTTTTATATTTTCCAAAATCTTAAAACTTTATTTCCAGGTTTAGATGATATTTTCTATCCCAAAGTTTTAATTTGTGGATTTTGGGTTGTACTGCCCTACAAAGGAGAAATGCAGTAACTACAACAACACTATCAATTGATTTTGATATCAATTTTCATATATCTTTTTCTAAATCTGAGCATAATTGAGCCTAGTCACAGAACTTGATTTTGGTCATAATTCAGTTTGACAAAATTACTGAATTTTGCCTTTGTAGAACAATGTACAGTAGGTGCAGCAGATAGCAGATTAGCTAAATGAGCTGAAATTAGCTAAGTGAGTTTCACACTCATTTGTTCTGTGATGTATGTTGTGAGAAATCCACGTGGAGAAGGGCTTCTAGTCCAAGCTTCTAACAGAATATGTTACATGTATTGCTGAAGATGTACTTCTATAGCATGTAAATCTGGTCACAGGTTTTGTTTTATTGTGAAATTTGATCATGTGATCTTTTTCAGGTGGGGATCTTGGGCCGAACAGGTTCTGGGAAGAGTTCTCTGTTCAATGCTCTCTTGAAGATGGTTTACACAGATGGTGATATCTCCATCGACGGGGTCAACTGGAACAAAATGCCGCTTCAGAAGTGGAGGAAAGCCTTTGGTGTGGTGCCTCAGGTAACAGCGGCTCTGGGAACAGCTTTCATCCTCTCTCTTCATAACATCTCATGATATATTTTTGTAAATATCTCCTTCCACACCACCACAGAAAGTCTTCATCTTTACGGGACCATTCCGCATGAACCTAGACCCTTACGGTTGCCATAGTGATGAGGAGCTGTGGCGGGTCACGGAGGAGGTGGGTGTCTCCAGAGCAAATGATCAGTGACTGTGAGGTCAAGTGGTTTGATGACCCTTTTTTCTAGAGCAATTCAAAGAAACTGGAAAAGCATTGTCTCTGCTGCTGAGACTATGGCAACATTTTATTTGCCACTGAGCAGCTAAGGGTGAAGACTGCAAATTTTGAAATAGTCAAATCACAGTAAAATAATAAACATAAAAATAAATAACATTAATTATTAATAAATAAAAGTAATAACAAACGTAATCATTTTAAAATCAAATAAAAGTATACATAAAAACGAAAAACAGTTACAATAAACTCCAAATACAACTTGAATATTACCTTTCTTAGCTAGCTATACACTTTCTATACCTAACAATTTTATAACAGAATCACCCTCAAGGATAAGTGATTATATTAAGTGCAACATTTCGGTCATCCAATCTTTGTCAGTCATTTAAAAAAGTTTTTGAAATGAAGGTCGGATGACTGAAATGTTGCATTAACAATATTACGTTTTTGCAAGCTACGGTATGTGTGGAATAATTTTTCTTAGTTATTAGTTATCTTGTGCACCTACAAATTTTTGGGTGTGTGTGAAGTTTCCTATTTGTTGTTTATAAAATAAGTGACCTTTTCTAAAGCAAAACATGAGGTCATCTGGTTATCCATTATGAACAATTATATGCTTACCCTCCAAATGCTGTCATGTCGGGCACAGAAATGACACACTTCTTCTTGTTCTCTTGTTCTTACGTTATAATTTAGGTGTAATTTATTTTATGACAACAGTATTTATATTCTATATAATTTTTATTTTTGAGTCATCAAAAATGAGTCATTTTTATTTTTGAAATAATTTAATTAAGGCAGAATATTAGGTCTAAAATATACTGTGAATTCTAGTAGTAATATAAAAGTGACCATACAATATGACAATTATGAATGATCAACATAGCAATCCTTATGAATCATCTAGTGAATTGCATGTATGTCCTGTTCACCTCTTGTAAAATGCATAGACAATTTGCTGAAAGTATTTGCTTGATTTACAGTTATTTCTGTGTTCATGTGTGAAGGTCGGTCTCAAGACAGTGATTGAGCAGTTTCCAGATAAACTGGACTTCCAGCTGGAATACGGAGGTTATGTACTGAGTAACGGCCACAAACAGCTCATATGTCTGGCTCGCTCCATCCTCAGCGGAGCCCGCATCCTCCTCCTGGATGAGCCTAGTGCCCACCTCGATCCAATGTGAGTCCCAACACCACTGGCTGTTAAGCACAAGTACAATGAATGTACATCATAGTAAATAATGGTGGCTGTGCTTTGTCTTTGGTTTCAGAACAATAAAGGTGTTAAAGAAGACATTACGACAGTCTTTCTCCACATGCACTATATTACTGTCTGAACACAAAGTAGAACCGCTGCTCGAGTGCCAGTCTTTCTTGGTAAGGCTCTTGCACTACCTCTCTTCCATCAACACCAACTTAAAGGGATTAGTTCACTCAAAAATTTAAATTCTGTCATTAATTACTCACTCTCATGTCGTTCCAAACCCGTAAGACCTTCATCTTCAGAAAACAAAAGAAGATATTTTTGATGAAATCCGAGAGCTTTCTGACCCTGCATAGACAGCAACACATGCGTTGTGGTACTCTTGTGAATTCGTGATGAAGACTGACATGAAAGAAAAGAAATTGTTGAATAAAGTCGTTATTTTTGTTTTCTTTGTGCATAAAAAGTATTCTTGGAGCTTCATAAATGGACTATTTTAACAATGTCCTTACTACGTTTCTGGGCCTTAAATGTGGTAGTTGTGTTGCTGTCTATGCAGGGTCAGAAAGGGTCGGATTTTATGAAAAATATCTTAATTTGTGTTCTGAAGATGAACGAAGGTCTTACGGGTTTGCAGCGACATGAGGGTGAGTAATTATTGACAGAATTATAATTTTTGGGAGAACTATTGCTTTAAATATCACTTTTTGCACTTATTGTTCACATTTTTACTGTTATTTGTATTGGAGACAAAAAATTATTTAACAGCTGTAAGGATCACTAGTTGCACCAGACAAAAGCAAAAATATTGAGTGAGCATTTTTATATTTCAGTAATTTCTGTTAGATAGTAGGGACAATTTATGTGTGGTATTCAAAAAAGGCAAACATACACAACCGTTTAAAAGTTTGAGGTGAGTACGATGTACAAAATAAATACAATTAATAATACTTTCATTCAGCAAGGATGTATTAAATTGATCAAAATTGACAGTAGACAGAAAATTGTTACAAAATATTTCTAATTCCATTAAATGCTGTTCTTTTGAACTTTATATTCATCACAGAATCCTGATAACAAAGTATCATGGTTTACACAGATATACTAAACAGCACAACTGTTTTCAGTATTGATAATAATAAGAACTGTTTTCGAGCACCAAATCAGTCTATTAGAATGATTTCTGAATGTGACACTAAAGCAGGGGTCTTCAACTAAAATTGCTTGAGGTCTAGTAATGAACCCTCCTCAAAAGCCGAGGTCCGGATATTTATATACCTAAAACATGAATTGATGGTTTTTGCCAGACCAGGGTATTTACAAGATATTTAAGCTCAAATTTAAGATTTGCACAAATAAAAATAAAATGACTGTAAAAAGCATGATTTACATTTCAGATACAGGTTTTCACAAAAATAAAAAGTTGTATAAAAATGATCAACTTCACATTTCAGCCTTTAAACTATTTTTTTTTTTTTAAAGAAAATGGACTCAAAAGTATCAATTATTATATTATTTTAAATAATTATCAATCAATTATTATATTAATTAAATAACAAATATATTTTACTGTCTTTATTATTTACATTTTTATAATGCATTATCTTCTTGTCGATCCACCAGTTCACATTTACAACTCTGCATGTTTGCTGCATTTAAACGGGATGATTTTCACATTGGTCTGAACAAAACTAGCAGAAGGGCTTATTGAAAATGCAAATTCATTCTCGCTCAGCAGGTGACGCTTTTAAAATGGCTGAAATATAGCGGTTTCCCCGGTAACGGCAGTACACAAAGCAGCACAGCACTGGACTTTGAAACGTGCAGCGCTTGTATTTATTCAATGAAATCATAGCCTTTTGAAGTGTAATCATTACATTAAAGCCATATCGCAATTCTTGTCTTTCCGTCCCCAAATTTAAGCCCTCCTGAAATCAAAATGAAGACTTCCTTGTACCATTTAAGACTTTTTATGACCTTAAATTTGATACAACTAAATTTAAGACTTTTTAACTTAAAGGCACAATATGTAATTTTCGCCACTGGAGGGCATTCAAAATAAACAAAGAGACGAAGGCGTAGTTTGATGACTGAGTGTGGAATCATGGGAGTTGTCGTCTTCATCCCCACAGCCGATGCAATCCGACGGGACTCGGGCAGAACTCATGTTTATGGATGAGCTAATGATTTATTAACGTAGTAGAATGAAGCAGAGTGAGGCTGAAAGCCGTCGAAGGGAAACGAGGCCGCTGAACGAGCGTGACACACGGCTCGAAAGCAGCGGAGCTTTTATTATGCCACAGTCGACCGCTTCCGCTGCTTCCGGTCGTGCGTATGTGGGGTAAAGCAGCGGTGTTTTATCATACTAGATACATTTGAAAGTTCTGTTATAATGCTACTCTGTGCGGTCGTCACATGTCTAATAAAACGCATAACATGTCTTTGATGTTTCCATGTTTTCTACAAAACAAAACCGGAAATCGAGGGGTTATGACATCATTGGCAGGCGACACAATGACACTATGAACACGCTCCGTGCCACTAGTTTGGGATAATGTAAGTACACAAGTCAGCAAAATATATAACACTATTCTAGTGGTTTTTGGAGGAAATTGAGGGGTTATGACGTCATTGGCAGGCGACACAATGACACTATGGACACGGTCCGTGTCACTAGTTAAAATTGCTTATTTCTCTGGATTTAAACATTCTTCGAAACATTTGGGATAATGCAAGTACACAAGTCAGCAAAATATATGACACTGTTCTAGTGGTTTTTGGATATTTTAATAAAAAAATCGTACATATTGTGCCTTTAACTATTTTTTGAGAATGCCATTGTCTGCACGCCACTCTCTTCACTGCACTGCTCTACTGAGCTGACCTTGATGTGCTTGATATAAATTTGATTTTATTACAAAATGGCTTTTGGCATTTATTTAATTAATTAATTAATTAATTATGTCTAAAAATATATTTTTCAAAGTTTGTCCCCGACTCCTCTGATCTCTGTTGCAGATGATGGACAAAGGTCAAGTGAAGACCTACGATTCCATTCAGAAGCTGCTGAATGAGACCAGTCACCTAAAGCAGGCCATAAGCCCAGCGGAGCGCCTCAAACTCTTCCCTCGCCGGAACTCCAGCATGCGCACCCCTCAGTCCAAACTCAGCTCTGTTACGCAGACACTGCAGGAGGAGGCAGAGGACAATATCCAAGACACTCGTCTCTGAGCGTCTCAAACTGGAATTCATACAGAAACAATCAAGCTTACAATGGTCTCCAAATGGTACATAATTTTGGATGACCTATCATGAGAACATTTGACATTTATTATGAAAAAGATATGTATTTCTTCTTAATGTCACAAGAGGTACTCAATATCCTCTCACAATGGGACGCACAGTGAGGCCAGGAATAATTGAACACTAAAAAATGGTATAATGTAACTTTTATGATTTATCTCTGTTCTTTTTTATTTGATCAAATCAAATGTATTATTCCCTTACTTTTCTCTGAACATTTAATTTATTAAGTTAACACGTGACCAACGTCTGGCATCCTTTGAAAGCGCAGCAAAATGGGATCATATGAATCATGTAAATGGCAAAACAATTACTCTATTTTCTCATTTCTTTGTGCGTATCATGGAATTAGGAAAGGCACAAGCAAAAACAATGATTATTTTAAACTGTAAATATATATAAAACACTTTTCTGTGAAACAAATATATTTTTCAAGACCGTGCTTCTCTCGTTTTTTTTCTGTGTGGTCACCAGGAATGAGCTCATTCCACTCTTATCTTGTGTTATAGTGGGAAGCTTCAGAGGAGAGGACACAAAAACATAGCTGGTGGTGATAAACGATTCCAGCTGAATGATTCGGTTTCAAACAAACACAGTGTTAGCATTAGCTGTGTGGAGAAAGAAAAGCCAAGCGCTGAGGTGATGTCTAGGATAGTGCATTTTTAATTGTTGTGCTTGGAGGAAACAGGACAATTTCTCTGAACCTCATCCGACAACTATAATACATTTAAACATCAGAGGTCGACTATAATCTCTTCTGTACATATGAACAATACTGACTTTAAAATAATACTTGTTTATCCTAAATGTTCAATATAGAAGACAAACGAAAAGTTAATGCGCGCCGCTTCCGATTTCATAGTTGGGTTTCACAAAGTCAAAGTTCAAGCCAGTCACTGAGCACGCATGAGAGTAATTGAAAATACCAATTATGGCTTAATGGACAAAAACAAAATATCCTGTGTTCGCGATGGTGGTACTTATTGCCACATTCAGTTCATTTGGAAACGAGTGAAAAAATATGAACCAAAATTTAATATTACAAACAATATATACACTTCTCATTTTCCCTTCAAAAGTCCTCCAATGTGCAAGCGCAATATCACACACACGCGCACACACACACACGCACACACTAATCTATACAACATTTAAGTTCCCAGTTCTTATTTACACATATTTGGTAAAACCCTGATTTTCGACAGTTTTTAAAACTCACCTTTCACTTATTTAAACATAAAACACGATTGATTGTAAATACTAAAGAGCAAAAAGACTACCAGCTCTTACTTTGATCCAAAACATTTGACCTAAAAGGCAAATTGTAAAATGTTCAAGCAGTCTTTCTCCTGTTAGTTCATCGTACTTTTTCCTTACTTTACTTAAACAGTTGAATATATTAAAACTATGGTCCCAAAGTACACAATGTAATATAGTGTAACAAGTATGGACAACATGTACAAATACTAAAATGCTGCCAGTAACCAAACTTCACAACATAACAGACTGAGGGCAAAGGGAGGGCAGTGGGAGGTGTCTATCAACGGTTACTGTAGTTTTCATTACAGCTGGGGTCCAGGAACCAGATGTCGTCTTGTGAGAAGTTGTTTCTGTTGTTATGGGATGGGGGCTGCCTTGCTCTGCTGCTCGTGGAGGCTCTGCTAGGGCTGCTGCTGGGGATGGGCAGATGCGATCTGGGCCTTGTCACTCGCCGAGGAGAAGTGTGACCACTGTCGATCTTTTCAAAGAAAAAACAAAATACAAAAAAAAGAAAAAACAAAACAAAACATTTTTAACAAAAAAGTGGAGAATGCACCTTACACATGTGCTATGTTACAAAAACTAGCAAGCGACCTACATAGGCAACATTTTAAGCCAAATCCAAGATAGTGGATGAGATGAGAGAAATGCTGATTATGAATAACCATATTTCATTCAATATTGTGGATAAATAAAGTATAATTACTAAAAAATAGATTATTTTACCTAATATTTGGGTGCACTACATATTTTTTGTTTATAATAACATCATGCTGTTAGCTTTGCAACATACTAATGTCAAAACTCCATTTGTATCAATTGTGTAAAAGTGCCCGCCCACTTTTTTAGCTGCTCCGCTTGCTGAGGTATTTTTTCTATTAATTTTTTCCATAGGGATTTTAAAAAGACTTCATTAAAGAGTTATAAGCCATGAATCAAACAAACCATTATCAACTCTGATTTGAAACAAAAAAAGTGTTTGAAAATTGGACAAAAAGACAACAAAGCTGCAAGACTGTGTACTTAACAATATATATATATATATATATATATGTATTAGTATAGAGTAAACAGTGCTTTTGGCATGTTTTGCTTGTTTCGATTCTCTGATTGTTGGAGATTTCTTTGCAGAATTATGGGTAATACACCTTTTCACCAGAAATTCTGCTGTTAAATGTTAAAAATAAAAAACAAAATTATCAACAAAAAAAAAAGTTAAAATAATGTGGGTTGATGGCTTCAACAAAACCATTTACTAACAACCTTGCAGTTCACAGTAGGTCAGTCTTTCATAGCTTATACGTTTTTCCCTATGAAGAAAATGAACAGGATGTTTACTTCCAGAACCTGACTATGCTCTATTTGTTCACTATATGTAAAACATTCCAAATCGTTTATTGATGAGGCTCCATGACAGTTAGGATGTTGCCTTAGAAGGCAGCTATCTATGTAGGTGGCTCAGTAGGCTTTGGAACAGAGCCATGGTGTTTTATCAAAGACTTGCCTTCTGTGGTGGAGGATGGGGCATATCCACAGCATACTCTGTTGTAACAGGGCATGTTTGGGGCTGCGTGACCTCGGCATCACTCCTCTGAGGAGTGGGCGGAATCGAGTCTGGAAGCATGATGAAGTCCTCTTTAAAAAGAGCAATCTGTACCAGGTAAAAGAGGAAATGAACACAGCTCGTCAATTCCTAGAAACTGCAAGGTCATGTGCTAAACTGTGCCAGACTGTTTGTGTAGCCTGAACAGAAAGTCTCTAAGAGAAGAACAAGCTGTTTTTTTTAATGAATCAATACCGATAATAACAAACTATATTTTGAAATTTTCTGAAGAAATGTGAGTCTTGCATGTACAGTATTTGCAAAAATGTTTCTTGAGCAGCAATTTCATGTGAAACTGAAGACTGGAGTAATGGCTTCTAAAAATTTATTCAATAAACTACATTTCAAAATATATTAAAATACGGTATTTTTATTTACTGTATTTTTGATTAAATAAATGCCACTGTTGTGAGCATACAGTAAGAGAGTTCTTAAAAACAATTTGACCAACCCCAAGCTTTTGAACAGTGGTATATGTGAGCTTTAATGTCTATTACCTTGCTTATGTCTGGCTCAGATTTGCTAGAGCACATGGTCTGGAGTTCTCTGATGAGATCCGTCTCATCATCAGAGCAGAGTGACAGACCCACAGCAACTCCTTCACCGAGTCTGCAGGAACGTACACACATAATCATTGACTAACACTGCCATCTGCTGGTAGTACAAACATATGCCCACATAAAAAAAACACACCTTGCATGATTGACATTTATCATTGAGTGAGCGCTTGAATTGGCCAGAGATCCTATATAATAAGAATACAAGAACACAGATTATTCTGAGAATTTTTATCAACAGTAGCTTGTTGCTGTAGCAGAGCTGCATAACCATACTGCAAAATCAAAGCCATCAGTTACACCTCACCTTCTCTTAAAGAGCAGCTAGAGCTCCTCCCAGAGGCGGGGCTTCCTTTCTTCCTTGGACTGGTATTGGCTCGTCTCCAAGCGCCATTATCGCGTCCTTTTCTGCCACCTTTCCTGTAGGCAGAGCCAATGGTGGAAAGAGGGAAACATCCTCCCTGGAACTCTGGTAAGAACCTGTCAATCTCTAACCACACAAAGAGAAAAAGAGTCAGCAAGTACCAGTAATGACTACACTGAAAGATTTAATGGCTGACGGCTACTTTGAATGTTGTTGGAAAAAGTAGCGCAGCTGTTTTTTTGTAAAATTAGCTAAGCTAGTGTAGTTACATTAGTGGCAACGTGTGTTCCTCAACATTTCTGATGGTGCTGTACCTGTTCTGGGCAGCGGGCAGCCCTGCAGCACAGCCTTATTCAGCAGGATATTGAGAGCTGCTTTGACTACCGCCCTCTGACCTGGGCTCAGACCTTTGTTGTTGGGAGACCGTCGTTGGGAGGGAGAGCGTTTGGCTGTTACTCTAGATATAACAGCATCCTCGACCCGTGGAACTATCACTGCGTTCCAAAGCCTCACCAACCACCTAAACACAAAGACACATGGACCAATATTAACAAATAATACTGCCTCTCATAGGAAATAATACAAATATCAATATAATTTAATAAAAAATAAAGTTGAATTCAGTTTAATACAGTTTAAAGTTTCATTCAGATTCATGTAGTGTCAAAATTATAGATTTTTCGATAGTTTCAATACTCATATTCTGCAGTATCGATACAAGGTACCAGCTGCATTCTCTCTTCTCTCCAACAGTGAGTTGACACACACCACACTGTATTTTAATCAAATAGGTATATAGTCGTTTGCACTGTGTGTTTTAGAGCTTTCACTATAATCATTTACAAGTATGCAGCACATGATACTGTGTTTTTAGCATATCAGAGTTTCTGGATTCACAGTAAATGCAGCAAACATGTGCCAGTTATGCTTTATTTTCACATTAGCATAATCTCCAGCAGTGTGAAAAGATGATTACAGCATTTCACTAGATTCGTAATGAAAAGTATTTGTAAACCCTTTTTCACCTAAACTTCCCTGGAGTTTTCCGCCAAAATAATAGCTTGAGGATTTAACTCTAAGTAAGTGTAGCTATTAAGACATAATTATGTTATGTAGTTTTATTACTGTAAAGTAAAATAACTACTTACTATTTGTTATAAAATACAACTAAGTTGTATTACAATAGTAATATATTTATGTCTAATATAAATAATAATAATAATATTAATAATATATAATAATATTTTAGTTAATAGTAGTACCTTCCCCTATTGGGCCTTGAGGAATCTCAGACAACAGTTTCAGTTGATAAGAAAATATTTGATTATGGTCAAAAATATAAATTTTATTTTGCTTAAATGTTTAGGCAATTTTTCCCCATGGTATCAAAAACGTTAACGGTGCCATAGAATGGAAAACTGTATTTACCTTGGCATAGTTGAATAACAAGAGTTCTGTACATGGAAATGACATACCGTGAGCCTCAAACACCATTGTTTCCTCCTTCTTATGTAAATCTCCTGCGTGCAAAAGACCACTGAAAAAGAGGCGAATTCCAACATAACACCGACTGTG